CCTGATCCACAACACTTGAAGAATTCAAGAAAGAGATTAACATCAAGGCTATGAAGATTGATCATTAAAATAACAAACACAAATTGATTCATCTATCAGAAAATGTGAGCTCAGTGGTGGGTGTAGCTCGGAGTGGAATGCATGCTTAGCTTGGATGAAAGACCCTGGGTTCCAGGAAGAAGTCTCAGTGCTTACACAGGTATCCCATTAAACTCAGGGATTCACAAAACAACCCAAGGAAGCAGAAGGGGACAAGCCCAGAGGAAGGTTTTGAAGGGACGCAGGGGTAAGGGATGGTGATGGGGTGAACATGGAGCAAGAAAAATGTCCCAGAACAGGTGCTGAGTCAAATCCCCAAAGTGATGGGAATACGATCACATTAAAAGAAAAACACACATGTATTCACAAATTCAACGCAAATAGTAAGACAAAGCCCAGAAGGTGGACGGTGTGGAGAATGTGACTTCCTGGTTTGGATATGCATGCTGGGAGTTTCTTTACTGCCAAATGCCCTACGAGGCCATGGACAGACGGCTCCAATGGCAGTAAGTCCGAGTGTCTAATTTTTTGGTGACGTGAAGCCAACATAAGATGTGAATTACCTTAGAGAGTCTCACCAGCTCTGCAGCTGTCTACCCAGGATTCATTTCCCATCTGAGTACCACGTGATGGTTGGAGACAGGGCACTGCTAAACCATGGAGTCTAAGGACAGCAAGCAGCCAAAGACAGAGACATGTTATGAATTCAAAGGTTTAGATGGTGATTCATTTAAATGGGTGTGAGTTGAAAACTAATTTAGTGACTTCCTTTAGTGGGGAAAGGTATTGTCTCCAAACCTTATCACTTGAACGTGACCCTCAGAACCCCACAGAGGAAGGAAAGAGCCAACTTCTCCACTAGCTGTCTTCTGAACTCCACATGCATGCAGTAGCACATGCGTGTTCACACTCACACACACACACAATTAGCTAATGCATTAATAAATTTTAAAAGTTAAAAAGTAGGCAATTACCTCCCAAAGTCCACTTTAAGTCCACATGTCGTTAAGAGAGCTTCTGTTGTTCTTTTATCTAAGTGGAAATATGCAGCAATTAATTATCAGCACAGTTATATCTTGATAGCCCCAATTAGAGCCTCATTAGAGAGAGATTGGTACGAGATGCTAGCCCTCTACGTGCCCGCCTTCATTTACCCAATCAGGATGACATCAGCGTGGTGATGTGGCAGTAACTCTTTCCTACATACTAGAAAAACTCACGTTTAAATGAATGAACTATGCCTTTATTACTATGCTGTGGGTCATAAATACTAAAACCATATTCATAGCAATTCAAGATACTTCTCAAAATCTATACCTACTGTTGATGGTTTAAAATCATTACTTTAGGAATGCATCTGAAGGAGTTTGAAATCAGGTAGTGAGGAAAGGAATGTGTGTGCGACTAAGTGACTATAATAACTTCTTCTTGTCCTTTATCATTCATTTATTTAGTGGTTCTGTGCAAGCACTTAGAATGCTGGCTTACCGTGAGGCACCAAACTTCTGAACACTCAACCTCACACCTGGGAACTTCACGGTAGCGAGCCAGTCCAGGGTCAGCTCCTCAGGCTGGCAGTCATCAAAGAGGGCCGTGGTGCTGTCCTTTCCCACTCCAGCCTCAGATGGAAGCCCTGCTGCTTGTTAGCCTGATGCAGCCCCGCACCCTGCTCACGAACACCCTTTCTCCAGGCAGAACTGACTATTGTGAGCTTCGTCCATTTAACCAGTTCTCCACTCCCCAGCTACCTGCCTGGCAGTGAGACTGAGCTCTCCTCTGTTACACACAGCACTGCGTAGAACCCACATCAGACAACTCTGTGCCACGTGAATGCAGAGATGTTTGCTGGATGCATATTACTCATGAAACTTGGGAAGGAAGATGTGAGAAGCATTTCTCTTAGTTTTTTATCTGTCAGCTTCTCCCCTTTAGCTATCTTAAGGACAAGAACTGCCTTTATTTCTTCAGGCCTAGCATGAGTGTCTCCACAGCGCTTGGCAACACTTGGAAGTAAGGAAGAATAGATAGTAATGAATTTCAGTATTCAGCAAAGCATGCTTGTTTTTGCTCCATGAGCCACAGCGCACAGGACAGACTTCAGTGCTCCCTTTATACAACACCTGCTGCTGGCCGCTGATGATTCTGGGAAAAGAGCTTAGCCAGAGGATATTCTCTTATTAGCATCCTCACACCCAATGTTTCTTTCTTGTAGCAAATACTCAATTCTGAATCCCTGAGAGGTGTTCTCCATCGCTGAGGTGGCAGGCAGCACCTGGGGTGCTCAGTCTTCCACCACATGACTTCTCACAGCAAAATGTCAAGTCAGAACATGTTGACGTGTTTCCCAGTCAAATGTTAATGCTTAATATGGGCTCACTCTAATGACGGACACCTAGCATACATGTGGACATAAGATCAGATGGGATTGACAAAAATGGGTCACAGAGGGGACAGAGCACATGACTTTATAGATGACAGTATTTTTATTAAATATGCATATTTGTATCCAAACTTGAATCAGTTAATAAGTTTGATTTTGTAAATAAATTGGCCATAGTTGAGTAAGAGATTGGTGTACAAACTCATCTATAATAGGGGAACGAACATATTGTCTAGCATTTTCAATAGTGGACATTGACTTTTTATGTGTGCGTGTGATTGTGTGTGTGTATTTCACAGTTGAGCAAATATATGTCTGCATCCAATTATATATGTGTGTGTGTGCATGCATGGATTTGCCTGTGGATTCTCGTGCACATGTGTGTGGAGGCCAGAGGTTGATATCAAGTGTCTCCTCCACCTTATTTCATGAGTCAGGGTCTCTCATTGAACCTGAGGGTCACTCATTCAGCTGCTCCTACTGGCCCATGAGATCTAGGGACTAACTGGTTTGTGCCTCCTCGGCACTGGAACTGGAGACAGGCACTACCAGGCCTGGAAAAATTATGGGTTCTGGGGATCTAAAGCCAGGTCTTCCTGTGTGCATGGCAAGAACGTTACTGACAGAGCCATCTCCCCAACCCCTTAAAATGACGCTTCACTCAGCACTGTAACTTTCTATGTAGTAGCTCTCTTGTTCACCAGAAAGTCATGAACAGTTTGCTCTAGATTCCTTCTAGGGTGTGTTTATGTCTTTATTTCTGTTCATTTCACTTAATCCTGAAAAGTTTAGAATGATTATTATTATTGTTATTATTATTAATTTGCTTGGAAAGACCTAAGAGTTTGATGATAATGTATTTCAAATGCCAATAAATTTTGTCATTTAGAAACATTCAAATAACACATGACTTACAGGCTAGTCTCTTCCTCAGTCTTGTCCACAGTTGCATACAACTGAATGCTTTATATTGGCAATCATACCAGGCTTGATTTGTTTATAGAAGAGTTTTGGGTCCATTAAAAATACTCAAAAATAATATTTGAAGTGTGGTTATTTCACTGTAAAGTTACAACTTTATGTTCTAGATTTAAAACTGATTATTGATTGGAAAAGCAGAATGGAACAATTAAAAGAATTTCAGGAAAATATATTTTTCTAATAACTGTCAAGGTGTTTAATTTCCATTTATTTAGATGGTTCCTGGGTCATTAACACACTGGTTTTATTCATCAAGCCTAAGTTACCTTGGCACATACAAGCGATACATGGTATCTGATTGATGTCAGTACCAAAGTGAAGCAGTGTAAGAACACTTCCAAAGCTGGAGAAAAGTACAAGACAGATGTTAAATTCCAGAGTCAAATACCTGCTTCATCACAGCTGGTCAGAACAGGAACCACAGTTGTCAGTAACCTTCCTAAGCTTGGAACAGGCACGATCTATTCCCCATTGTGGCAATCTAACATTTGTGCAGTTATGGAGTCCAGACAGCAGGACCACGCGCTGAGGCTGAGGCAGTTCAAGGAACGTGACACAGAGACTGTGGCTTTCCAGAAGAGACCACAGACTTAGATCCATGCTGTCTGGGGATTCAGTTAGACCATTTGATTTCCAAGAGAATATGGAAATTTAATCCTGGAAGTTAAAGACTTTCTTTTTCAAATTAATATTTTTAGTTTAAAGAATTTTTTATACCAAACATTTCCTAAGTTTTATTCCATGATTAAAGTCAAAGATAAAAGTCAGACACGTGGTCCAACACATCAGAAAACACAGTGTTTTTTCCCACTCATCCTTGTGAGTCCACAGTGCACAAGGGCAAATTAGGTGCTTAAGCCCAGACAGTGAAGATAATGGTGGAACAGAAAGACAGGTCCCGTTCTCTAACTTACTATATGAATAGCAAACGTTATTCATATACAACTTTAATGTTAAAAGCTCATTATTAGGGGGCTGGAGAAGTGGCTCAGTGGTTAAGAGCATTGGCTACTTTTGCAGAGGACCGGGGTTTGACTACCCGTACCCACATGGCGGCTAACAACTGTTCGTTAACTATGGTTCCAGGGGATCCGATGCCCTCTTCTGACCCCTGCAGACTTTGCACAACGTGGGTGCACTTACCAATACATTCATATACATAAAATGTGAAACACTTCATTATTAAATGTTGCATTCATATTTTGGTACTTAATAACTAATAATTAGAGAAAAATAAATCCAGTCAGTTGGGAGGCTGGAGAATGTTCAGTGGTAAAGAGCATTGGCAGCTCTTTTAGAGGACCTGGGTTCTGTTCCCAGCACCCACCCCCCACAGTGGATAACAACTCCAGTTCCAGGGGATCTGAGACCTCCATTGCATTGCATGCACATAACAGCAGGCACTCATACACATAAATTAAAATTAAAATAAATCCAACTCGTAGGCCAAACCTTGTCCGAGTTCTGACCCACCTTTCTGTCCAGTTCAGAGGACCTTAGGGTGTTTCACCAGTGAACCGTTAGGACCCTGAATTACTACTGTGCTTCGCTCTGGTCATATAGATGCTGTTTCTCACCGTGCTCTGTTTTGCTGTTTCAGTTCCTCCGAAAATATATGACATTTCACATGACATGACCATCAACGAAGGAGCCAACGTCACCCTCACTTGCTTGGCTGCCGGGAAACCAGAGCCTTCCATTTCGTGGAGGCACATCTCCCCGTCAGGTGAGTGCTAATGTGGAGCCCCTTCTGGCCACATCCCTCACTCAGAACGTGAGTGAACCCCCTTATTCTTTTGGTTTTTATTCACAAGATGGGCAAGGTTGACAATCTTACAGGTTTCCCTCTATGCTATGAACAGCACGGCTCAAGGAAGCTCAGTATGCCTCCATGCCGTCAGAACGGGCGAGGCCTCTGGATTCCTATGCAGGGTTATTTTCACTTTAACATTCTTGGTGATCGCAAATCAATAGACAAGGCTCAAATGGAAATATTACAGGAGGAAAAACTCTTTATTTAAATGAGTAAGGGGCTTATTCAATCGGCATTCACATGTTAATAGGCCAGCATGAATGGCTAAGGTAATCAAGGGAGAATGGAATTATACAGATTGTGAGGCTGCTGGGTCTAATTTCAAACTGCTGTTCAGAATCAAGGACTTGAGGGTTAGAATTAAATTTTAACTGATGAGGGATCCCAAAGCCCTCATGCTGAAGTGACTCACACACACAGGTCACATAACTGGTGACAGGGGGACTGTGGCGTGCCCATGAGGATATGTACCTCATCCAGAAGACTTGAAGTCAGTTTTAGCAAGCTGGGGCAGTCTGCACAGAAACAGGCCTGCTTGTTCGGCCGCGCTGCTTGAGTGTATGTTCACCACAGAAGGCTGCATTGGCGGGAGGCTTGCTGGGGCCTGCTGGCACTGGCCTGGCTCGGGTTCAGAGGAAGCCTTTGTTGCAAAAGAACAAAACAGTGACAGCAGGGGTCAGGTCCTCCTCTGCCCTTGGCACACATATAACTGCACACACCTGCACACACATGTGCACATGCCACACATAACACATACACACCTGTGCGTGCACCACACGTCACTTACACACATGTGCGTGCACCGTACATCACATACACGTTCGCTTATACCACACATTACATACTCACGTATGCATATGCCACATGTCACATGTACCTTTGCATATGCCATACATCACATACTCGAATATACCATACATCACACAAACACAGGTATATACACAATACATCACACACACACATGTGCATACACCACATATCACACACAGGTGCATATACAACACATCACACACATATGCATTTGTCACACACCACACATGCATATACTACACATTATACAATTACATGCATGTGTGCATGCATCACATATAACACACACCTTTGCTAATACCACATATCACACATATGTGCACACACCACATACATGTGCACATACCACACATCACACATGCATATACCACACATTATATACTTATATGCATGCATGTGTGCACCACACATAACACTAACATACATCTTTGCATATAGCATATATTACATGTGCACACACCACATGTATGTGCACATGCCACACAGTCCACACGTGCATATATCACAAATACACGCATATACACGTGTGCACGCATCACACATAACATACATCTTTGCATATAACACATCACACCCCTGCATATGCCACACATCACATATGTATCACTCATGTGTGCCTACACCACACACACACCACATGTATGTGCACATGCCACACAGTCCACACGTGCATATATCACACATACACGCATATACACGTGTGTACGCATCACACATAACATACATCTTTGCATATACCACACATCACATATGTATCACTCATGTGTGCCTACACCACACGTCTCACACATACAAAGTCGTGCACATACATTACATACACACACAAGTAAATACACATAGAGTGGAGACACATTCGCACTCTGGGGCTCGAGGGCTTCCAGGAATTCCGAGTGACGCTGTCATGGACGAGGCGCCCCCCGTTTTCAGGCGAATGCAGTTTCGTATTTTGTGGTGGCGGTGACGTCAGCCCGGCTGCAGCAAGCAGGCAGATGAGAGCCTTGTACTCCATGGGGCGCAGAGCGCACTCCGGAGCATCACTCTGTCTGCTGATCCTCCTGAATACTGCTTCTGCGTACCTGTCTCTCAGCCCTGCAGTGGGGCTAAGGAGACTCGTCGGTTCCAAGGACTGAGAAATGCTGTTAATGGGAGAGACTCAGTACCCCGCAGCACGCAGCCTTGTGACAATATCCTACCATACACGGCCTATGGAGGCTCAGTAAAAAATCAGCATCGTGTGGTTTCTCTGAATCTGTGTCATTTCTGCAGCATGGTTGGGCTGCAAACTCCCAAGCAGAGCCATCGTGGCATCAGGGACTGAATATTTTTCATAGGCTGATTTGAGAATACTTTTCCAAGGTACACAACTTTTTATGTATGAATATTTTACTGTATAAATATACTTGAAGAAATTACAAAGCCTCAAGAGTTTTCAGTCAAGCCTTGCTTGGTGGTGTTTCTCTGGAGCTGGGAGGCTTAAACAGGAGGGTAGCCATGACAGCAATGCCAGCCTGGGCCATAGAGTGAGTATCACACCAGCCCAGGCATAGCGAGATCCTGTCTCAAAGATCAGCCATCTACCTAGTGAACCCATGCTGCAATTGTCAACCAATCAGTACCATCCTTTCGAAAAGACATTTCCTTCCACTACAGAACCCAGGCAGCCTCTGGGACTGAGGTGACTATTGAGTACAATCCACTATCTGTACTCAAATGCAGAGATCATCAGTCAAAAATCAGTAGGCTCGGTGAGTGAAAAGCTTGTTATACAAACATGAGGCCCTGTGTTCAGATCCACAGAACCCACATAAAAATCCAGATGTGGTGGCACACATCTTAGCACTAGGGGGTGGATTCTGGGCACCAGCCAGCCTCGCTGAAGCACTGAGCGCCAGGTCAGTGCCACATCCTGTCTCTGAAAACAGGGAGGATAATGAAGAAGATGCCCATGGTCAGCTTCTACTGGAATATTTAGGTCCCTTACATTTAATTATTGGCTTATGTGGTTTGGTACTGATAATGTCGTTTTTGTTTGGTTGTTTTAATTTATTGCTTCTTTTTTATTTTATTATCTTTCATTTTATCTTTGTGAATTTCATACGATATATTTTGATATTTAGATCCCCTCCCATAGATGTATCCTTCCTAACCCCCTCACCAAATTCCTGTATACCTATAGTGTCAAGTTTGTGTTCACAAATGGCCTTCAGGGTGGGCTCATCTACTGGAGCCTGGTCAACCTACTAAGTCTCAGCCTTGAATGAGGCTGGCTCTCCATTTTCAAGTAGTCATTGGTGGCCAGTAGTTCCTCAGATAAGGTTGGCGTTTCTTGCCCACTTCTTCCCTGTCTATGTGGGATTTTGTCTGGCTTAAACTTACATGGAACTTGTCCGTGTTCTCAGCATTGCATGACTTCGTTTGAGAAACTGATCAGCTGTCTAGAAAACTCTGTTTCCCTATGGTCATCCACCAACTCTGGCCCTTACCACCTTTCCACACCCTCTTCCACAGTAACCCCAAGCCTTGGTAGGCAGAAGTTTGATACTGGTGTCGTAGGTGGGGATAAGCGCCATGCTGCGTCTTGTTCTCTGCATGTTGGCCAGTAGCGGTTCTCAGTGTTAATCACCATCTGCTGTATGAGGAAAGCTGCTGCTGAGAGTTGAGAGATGCATTAATCTGAGTAAAATAATAAGTCATTAGAAATAAATTTAATACTATATTTATTTAGCAGAATATTTCTATTAGGCTTTCTCCCATGACCTGTGGGCTATCTGGTCACAGGCTCCTAGGCCCGATATCAGTGTCAGCTATGGACTCCATCCTATGCGGCTGACCTTAAATCCAACTGGACAGTGGTTGGTTGTGCCTACACTGTTTGTGCCAGTCTTTCCCAAGTGGCCATCTCTTCCAGGCCAGTTGTTGTAGCTCACAGGGTTCACACCTGGGTAAGGTTCATGATGAATTCTCTCTTCAGGTAGTGTACATAATACCTCCCGCACTATGAAAACTAGGCAATGGACACAAGGACTTGAAGTCAGTACCAGCTTGATTTTTCTTGTTTTTTTTTCTACAGTTCGTGGCTAAGTCCACTGTAAATTAAGTAATGTAAACTATCAGAGGAAAATGCATGTTTTCTAAACTGGGAGACTGAAGGACTTTGGGAGCACTTCGAGATAAACTGATAAATTCAGTGTGGGTGAGACTATGGGTCAGCTGTCTAGCGCCCACCTACCCTGCTATCCCATTTATGAGTAAAGCTTTTAGGATGTCAAAGTTCTCAGACCTTCCATGCAGCTAGGATGCATCTTCTGTACTGTGGTGGACTAGAGGACACGGACAGTCTAAGTTCTTTACTGTCCGACTCTTAAAGAAAATGCTTCTTTGGTTCGGAGAGAGAGCTCAGCTGTGAAGAGTACTGTGTACTGCTTCTGAAGAGCACCGTAGTTCCATTCCCAGTACCCGTGTCAGGTGGTTCACAACCACCTGCAACTCCGGTTCCATGGTAACAGAAGGCTCTGACGCCCACATGTACCTCCACTCACATGCCCATATGCATATATGTGCAGGAATGTACACACACACACACACACACACACACACAGCTAAAAATAAATCTTTTTAAAAGAAGAAAAGAGGACTGGAGGGATGATTTAGTGGTTAAGAGCACTGGCCGTTCTTACAGAGACCAGGGTTTGGCTCCCAGAACCCACATGGCAGCTCACAACGGTCAGTAATTCCAGTTCTGGGAGACTTTGTCACATTTGTCCTCTTCTGACTTCCTTGGGCATTGCACAAAACAGGTGCTCTTACCTACACGCAGGCAATACACGCCTATGCATAAAATAAAGATAATAGACATCTAAAAGGCGAACACATTCATTGACTTTTTCGTTGGAATTGTGCAGTTTACGAATCATCTCTAACAGAGATGTGGGTTTGGCTTCCACAGTTGCAGTAAGTACAGTCTTCAGACAGATATGGAGTACTATTAAAAAATCAAAATTATTTCCTTGTCAGTCATATACACTGTGAGAACTCTATTGCTTAAAATAATTCTAAAATTAGTTCAAGTCGACATGGGCCCAAACCAGAAAGTGATAGTTCCTGTTAGAGTGCTCAGTCTTGTGTTCACTTTGGAAACATGAAGAGTCCACTTTGAATTGTGTGGATGCTGGGCCAACACCATGCACACTACCGTCTGCTCTAGAGGCCTGCATGCTTCTTAGAAGCTGTAGCTGGAACCTAAACACTGAACTTCTTTAAGAATCTTGTTTCAGGTTTGCGATCCTGACACTGCACTTTGCTCTTTGATGTTAGAAAGGAAAAAA